CCTTAATTTCTGCTTCCTAGAAACCATGTTCTTTCGGCATGAATTTTTTTTTTGTGAAAAACATGATGCATAAAGTTACCTGCCTACTGGCCATGGTTTGCTGCACACTTTCTGAATTGCCATCGCAGACAGAGCGTGATGAAATACTGGCAAATCTCACGCAGCTGCGTGAAGACGTCCAACCAGAAGCCAGCAACATGAATCTTTTGGTAAGTAAATCAAATTTAGAAGTGCACTAACTGGACTCTGCATCATATGTTAAACGTGTCATATCCTTGTTTGTCACAGAGTTACTCAGAAAAAATGGGACTTATAGCGGATAAATGGGTGTCGCGTTGCATACCTGATTACCCGTCTCATTACTCCAACCCAGAATTTGGCGACTATGGTTTTATCTTCTCAAAATATCCTGGCCTACCACAATTCAAGGATGCGTTAATCACAGCTGCCAAGAAAGACGCATACAATTTTACCAGAAACTTTTGTACAGGCACATGCAGATATTATAAGCAAGTAAGATACCATTTTTGGTATTTCCCTATAAGCGTAATTCATTTTCGTCGCAAATGTCGTGTACATCCTAAACGAAATTAGCTAATGGAATTTTATAAATTAATTGATAGTCAAATTGCAAATATTCCTGATTTTAGGTAATTTCTTCATTCCGTTGGTTTAGTAGTCTTAAAGTTAAATACTTTTTATGTGATTGCTATGGCAAAACGATGAAGGTCATATTTAAATGCTTTCCTCGATGTAGCTGTATTTTTGATTGCAATCGAATGTCATTTACAAAAGCAACAGTTAAAGTAGCAATTTTGAAAGCTTTCTATGACTGATTCTCTAAATATTTGGAAAATACTAGACATTGGAAAATAAAGCGACAAGTATTTAGTAGTTTAAAATTCTTTTTTACCATATTTGATATTACACAAAACGAAATTTAAAAAGTCATGCTGTTGCATTTAATGGCATCGTTGTTTGCATTTGAAATTCTTACCAGATAAACATTTAAATCACTGTTATGTTGCTATTTAACGTATTTTACTAGCCTATTGCAAACACATTCACTACATTTTACATTAGGTTTAAGCTTAATCGTGTACAATATTACCAAAACCATTTTTTGCACATTTTAGTCGAGTCAAGAAAGTTAAAATGTGTTTCATTAAGACATCATTTTCGATATTAATCTTTGCATTGTTGTACATTTTTTAATGGAACCCGACTAAATTACGAAATACAAAGAAAATGTGCAATTATTGTTTGTTTATTTTTTAAAGGCAGTGTCGGCAAAATCAACCAAGGTTGGATGTGCAAAGCAATACTGTGATAATAATGGACTTGGTCTAGTGGCTTGCGCATTTAATAGTGCGTAAGTGCAAATTCATGTAACATAATTATCCCCATTTATAAAAATATAATATTTTTCCGAATGAACAGTGACAAATATGGCGACTACACTATGTATGAATTGTATATTACACGCACAATTTTGGCTGTAATTTGCTTTTTTTTTATTTACTTAAAGCGAAAGAGTTCGGGGAGGACGACCGTATGATTGCGGTCCGAGTTGCAGCAAGTGTCCTCACGATTACAGCTGCGTGCATAGACAGTGCTCATCGATGTCACCGGAAAGCGACAGAACCAAATCAGCACTTTCAACTACATTAACCATGCTTATTCTCTATTCATGTAATTGAGTACAAATAAAACATAATGCTTGCAATGTGTAGACTGGTTTGCGAAAAGCTTACAAGCCTAAAACCATGGAGCTTCAACATCTGGTCATCCTTTATACAACTCTGGCCCAGTATGCTTTTATAATTTTACACTCGGTGTGTTCATTCGGCTTTGGTACATTTTTACGTGTGAGTACTACAGTTTTGCTAGGACAATGATCTTGGCATACGTCATAATTAACTCCACCTCGAAAACTATTCGCTATTCTGGCAGTCCCACTTAGTGAGAAAATTGCTGGGTTGGCGCAAGCACAGCGACATAAAGAAGCATCGCTAAGAGAGTCATCTACTGAGCGTGTGAACAGAGACAAGGTTAGCGCAGAGTTGATGCAAAGAGATTTTCAAGTTCCAGGCAAATGCGTGCAGACTTGTTTCAAAAACGTTTCTTTAACTCAAAGCTAATGCAACCTCTGGCTTTTTAGTGGGCGTCTGTTATGCAAACAAGCGAATAATAACGCATTCAAGGCAACGAAAACAATTGCCACCTTGATTGTTAGCTCAAATTATCAAGAACGTCAACCTCTGCTTAAGTTGTTGGAAAGGCAAGCGTACAATACCAACAGGATAATTGCATTGTCTAGAATATAAACTGGCTGTATAATTTAAACCTAAATTCATTAGGGTGACACATTAGGTTCTGAGTTTCATATAACTACAAACGTTTTCTCTAGTCAAATCATATTCCAAATGTTGCAAGTTCTTTTTGAAATTGTTTTTATGAGCATTAATCGGTGAGATCAATTATTTGCTTGAGTTAAGCAAATCGACTATATGCACGACTGTGTAGCTGGTAGCGAACTCGAGACAAGTTATTGTAACCAGGCGTATTTAGTGCAAAGGCAATCCAAACGAAACCACCATTTGATACAGTCATGTGTAGTTTAAGCGTCGATAGATGACGGAGTTGCTTACTCAAACATGGCATGCAATGAAATAACCTAAAATTAGCAAACAAAATCAGCTTTCTACTAGTAAGCAGAGCTAGGACCTAGAATTGAAAATCCGGCATTCAAAAGGAAATATATTAGCCAGCTTCTTAAGCCCACTCTCCTGTCCATGGAAGTTCTACACTTTACTAGATGCGCAGCACAAACAAACACATTACTCTGAATTGGGAAGTCCATACGATGGTGAAATACGCATTGCGTTCATAATTGACACGAATACGTGAGGACCTATTCTTGCAGGTTATCATTCTTATGCAAATCTATCCACAGTACTCATATTACAACAATTTCTCTTCGTCTTGTAGCAAGGTGCTAAAGACCAACTAGCAATAACTATAAAAAAACTACAGTGATCGAAGGAACGATTTTTCGACATGATGGACTGACCTTCCAAGTTTGCTTTCGCTTAGCATGATTAGAGTTGATTCGATATCTCGTCGTAACTTTCATGACTATTTAATGTGGCGTCCCAGAACATCCATGGCGCCTAACTCGTCTCTTTCGTTATGTGTAGAGAAATTAATTCTGCTAAGGCAAACTATACCAGTGGAAACAATTTGACATTCTAGTTAAGGTGAATGTAATTGGCTTCATCAGTACACACATAACTAATGATTTAGCTTTCGAAGCACTATTCCTTTTTAAAATTAATAGAACATAGAAAACCGCACCAGGACAAAGGACCGACTTTGTCTAGGAACAACCTGGAAACAGAGGACGCGGATTTGTTTACGTAAATTGCATTTAAGGAACTTTAATATATTGGGGTTCGCTCACGTTAACAGTGCTTACTAGCTGATCTCAACAGAATGGACAACTGTGAATTTTACAGGAAGCTAGGCACCTGCTCAAAACCTGATATATTGATCCAGAAATAACATTTTGACTCGAATTTACTATCTACCTGAAATCGTTTTCAAATTACATAATTTAATGGTTACTGACGGGAATGAAAGTCAGTATATCGGGTTCGCAACCCTGGCAAAAGACTTTTGATTATTGCTGTCTGCCCATTAAATGCACTCAAGAGCGATTGTCCCAATGTCGAAGTTACATCACAGTCCCACATCACCGTCTATAAACTGAGTGTATCCTGACCAACTTTATATCCACGAAAACCTTGATGTACTTGCTAATTTTTACCGAATTGCGCTGCACGTAACAGCATATAGTTTCTTGTCACAAAAGAGCTGCAGAGTTTTACTGATCTTGACACAAATATGAACAATCAAAAATGGTCAATAGATAATCGTTTTCAAAATGGGCACCATTCTTTTGCATTTAATTCCATGCTTAAAAAACTCGAGTAAAGATTGCGGCGTTACGGTTTCTTTTGCCGTTATAACTAACTTTAAGTGCAGACTGCTTAAGACTATATTTTTTATCTGATTAACTCTCGCACAGCGAGTTGCACTTAGAAGGCACATCACGTCAGGTTTGAAAATTAAGTAAAGCATACAGTGACTTCTTATTAGTAGTGAAGTAGAATTACAAATCACACAACCGTTCTTTTTATATTATATCCTTTTTTTGACGAGTTTTTCTGTGAATTGCGTTGGTTAACACTCGCCAATACGATCACTTTAACAACCGACATGGAGTTCCCCTTTTCGCAACATATCGCCAGCCGCGCGGATCCTCAACTCCCCTTCATTCGAACGAACTTTTATCCTGGATAATCTTCATGCCTAGGTCTTGATATTAGCTCATCTATGACCCACACATCCGCGGTATCAATACACACTCGCAAACGCCACACACGATACAACGACAATATTGCGGTTGAGGTCTAAAGTAAACCATTATGTCCACTTTCCTCATCTTCATCGGGGGTAGCAGGGTAGCGTAATCGGGTCAGGGTTAACTAAGTGTCCTCGGCGTGGTTCGAGACCACACGCCGGGGCCCACAACAAATTCATTTTAAGCAAACCGCAGCACAAAACTCCGCATCGAATGAGGTCGGTTTGGTTTCTGCAGCAAAGATTATAAGGTGAAAACTTTAATATAGGCTTTGGAGCACCTGTATATGACTTTCGTACTAAATGTTAGTAGTTAACATAACGATAGACACATAGAAAGCGACGTATTATTAAAGGCAATGTCTCTCTGCGTATTTCTACTAGCAACAGAAGACAGCTGCGAACCTGTCAACACAATGTGAATTTGATAGGTCGCCACAGCCAAATGTAGTGAAATAAGTGGCAAATTCTGTTAGTACTATAAATTCACTACTTAAGTCATTAAATTAATGAAGCTACTTTCAAAAATATGCATTTGTATCCACAGGGCAAACAACTCGAGGCATCACTGGTCGATGATTGGTCGTGGCGCCTGGCAGGTTTGGTTCACTCCCGGTGATGGTCGGTCACTTGACACACACCTACGCGCGATGGACCACGCTCGAGGGACTTCACACCCTGGCGCGCGTGCTTGTGTGTCACGACCAGTTGGTGTGCGCCAGGCAGCGAAATCACGTGGTGGCTCACTGACCCGCCTCTCGCCTTTCCCGCCTTCAAGTGGAACTCATTCCAGGCTTGTCGATGTTGCTGATGTGGTCAAGGCGTGAAAATCACCGATAAACCGCCAAACCACTGGTGGTGCTCGTTAGTCTCACTCAAATTTCGGACGGAATGACCGATGTCACTGTTAACAAGCGTTATAGCGTTGTCACCTTCATTGTCGGTGTGGCGTGCAAATTTTGCTGTCTTTTTAGGCAGTTTATTATTTCTCCAGTTCTTTCTAAACCCAATTCTTTTTTCCCCTTGGTTGAGATTAGACGAGGTGGATTAGTCTACGATGTGGTTGTTAAGGCATGGAACGGTTAGTGTGCGCCTTGTTTTGGTAAACGTGCTTCATGTCTGGAGACGTGAGATCCATTTTGACATAATCTGCCACAATATCTTCACACGGCTTCTATGAATCGCGATTTGATGGGCTAGTTTTCTAGTATGGACTGATCAGGTAGAACCTACCACTTCGGCAATTATTCTCGTCTTGTCATCTTCCGGGCAACTTCACGATCCACTATAAATGGCACAAAAGTCGCCATGATTACCGATTACCGGATTTGACATAATTAAAAGCTTTAGACAATGAAAACCCTCCATCATCAAAATGCAATCACCAATTCCAATTGGTCTTTAAGGTAACAGTAGCGATAATACTTGTGCAAATATCGAATCTGACATGCTTCTGCATAGTAACTGTAGTGATATTTTTTAGCGATATTGGTAATTAGAGTGCATAAGGTGCTTAATTTTGTATTTCGGCAGATGGACATTGATGCCATAGGTATTTTTTAAGACAAGCGCACTGCATCAAATCCTTGAACATGGTTTAATTTAATATTATTACATTTCGTTTGTTGTGGTGTACGGTAGTTTTATCACCACATGAAAAAAAATGCAATATAAATTTCAACGAAAATCAGCCAAGAGATTTGCATTTTATGTTTTTCAAGGAAATAAAACTTACAGGATCATTAGGACTTTCATTTAAGTTTAAAGCATTCAAATATTTTTACCTATAGTCACATTTGAGGCGAAAAGCTTAAGAAACCAGTCAGACACTAAAAGCTCTTAAAACAATTGAAAGACAATGTCGTTTAATCTATGCACTGCAGTAATACTCGATGGAAGAATTTCAGTATATTTTGTCAAAAAGCACAGATACTTGGGGATGCAGCCTTTTACATCGACTCTTTCATAATTTCATAAATTGTCAAATTCACTAAATGAAAATTAAAAATACCTCATCAGATAGTAATATTCCCGCGAAAGCCAAGGTCACATGATTTGACTACAAGTTGCAGAGAAGTCGGTTGGCTACTCACCTGATCTAGCTTAGGGTTTAATAAATTTCTTTAACATTTGTTGGTGGATTCGATGTCGATTATTCACCTACTGGATAGCTTTCTCAGTTGAGTTTCACAATACTGAATTGATTTCGAAAACACGTTAGTTGCTGCCTCGTGTAAGTGCCACGTGTCAGTTATCTTCAGCTGGTGTGTGCCAATTTTTATTACATTAAGTCCTACAATTGGTTTGCCTTTCATCCACGGATTTGCACTGCAATAACTCCAGCTTTCATCTCGAAGTCAATGTCAACGCTCAATGTATCTCAGCTGCAACTGACAAATGAAATTGAAGTATAAAAATACTGACAGCGCATGTAACATACCCTCCTCTTTGCCTTATATCCATGTCTAAACAAGTAAAATTAGGCCCAAACTCTTACCTCACCGGATTTACTTTCCAGAGTGTTAGAAAAAGGCCTGAAAAGTTATCTTAGAATAGTGATAAAAGATCATACTTGGAATGATTGTCGTCACGATGTGTCAAAATCAAACAACTTACCAGTAAGAGAAATGTGTTAACTGTGAAAAGATCTTGCGTTGCTCAGCCCCCTTCTTCTTCAATCATTTAAAGGTTTACACACTTATTTTATCGGTGACATCAGATGCTTTCTGATTGGTGCTAATCAGTAGGTGTTAAATAGATATGAACCTTAACTAGATGCGGATTAAATGAAGACATCCATAACTAAGAAACTAATTGTCTTCTCTCATAGCCTATATTAATAGTGATAGAAGTATAATGTTATTCAACAAATTAGAGGCATTAGATTTACCAGTTTCGTCAACCATGAATTACATCTCAAATGATGATGTGGCCAAGGGACAATGATTCGATTTCTATTCGGTTTGCAATAATATATATATATATATATATTGACTTTGGACTTTGGACTTTGTGAAATTAAACCTGATTTACTGTCGTCTAAAGCAATATATTATCAATAGTTAATGCGCCTAAGACAATTTTTCACTAATAAATTGCTCAAGTCAGGTTTTAATTGCACAATTGTGCAGGCATCTATTTCAAGAAATGTCGCTTGTTTCATCCAGGTAGGTTACTTGTCACAACCGCTAATTTTAGGTGCAAAAATATCTCCAATGATTAATCGTGGCTTAAACTAGCAAGTAGAATAGGTTCTAACACCTATTTAAAATTTAATTAGTTGATTAAACTAAATACCACAAAAAGAATTAATGCAGTTTTTTTCTTTAACGCCTAAGTCAAGAAAATGCGAAGAAAGCAAAGTGATAACCAGCCAAATGTACGGTGACATTAAAAGTGTTAAGTATTATTCGATTCCACTTTCGTGAGATAGGAAAGGTCAAAAAGAACAAAGGACCATTAACATTGCAAAGTGCAAGGATGCAAATGCAAGTAACAGGGAAGAATCGGAGGTTGTCGAAACACTTCTGAGTCCTGCAAATGACTCGGTAACTAACGAAGCAATATGGTTTTGTGGTGTTGAAGAAACTTTGTCAATGTTCTGTGATTTTGCAGGTGCTTTTAATGAATCACCTGGTGATAAGTCGCTTCCAGGGTGTATTATATCACTTGAGGGTGCCATGATAATATCTTCTTGAAAAGGTCCCTCAGTAATGTAATCCCCATTGCCATCTTCTGGAGTAGTAGTGGAAACAGCATGAATATTCTTTTGTGTTGTGATTGATGTCAACGGACTACTTGAAGATGCGTAGGTGGTTGTAAACGATGAGGTCGCAGAATCTGAAGTGGGTTCGCCATTTCCAGGTTGAGGTCGTGGTTCTCGTGTGCATTGTTTACGCACACAGCTATAACTCTTGGGACATTTGCTGCAGCTCTGGCCCTCCTTATATGGCCTTCCGACTTGTCTGTTATTGCTTCAAATAAATATTTCCAAGATTACTACAGGCAGATATTCAATTACGAGAATGTTGGTTCACGTTAAGCACGAATAAGGCGAACTGTGGTTAATTCATTTACATTTCACTTTGGTATTGCTTGAGCTAGAATTTTTTGGTGTAATAATTATTCAAGTGGAAATATGTAGCAATATGTACTTACGCCCTGTCGAATGCACACGCCACGAGTCCGAGATGATGTTCGGGACAATATTTCTTTGCGCATCCAACCCTGGTTGAGGATGCCCACACCGCCTTAGAAAAGTGGCATTCATTTTAATGCATATTGGAAAAATATTGAAGGCTTGTATTTCGACTGTGTTTAAACTAACAAGCACAGAATTACATATAAAGTGTAAGTGAAATAATTATCGTAATTGCCCAATAAACAAAAAAGTAATTTATCTAAAGTGCGTTTGAATTCACCCAAACCCAGGGATCTTAAATTTATTCAAGGGAAAGTATACATTCCAATAGAGCATGGCATGAGAATATGACATTAAACGTTTAAAAATTAAAAAGCCATAAAAAGTGGTTCATTTTCTAGTTACCAGTGCTAGAATTAATTATGTAACCAATGGTATTGCAAAATTCTATTCATTCGATTATTTATGCCGACTTGACATCTGCGGTTACGGAATAAAAGGTAAATGACAAAATGGTCACCTACTTGCTTGTAGTATCTGCAGGAACGAATGCAAGTATCTGTATCGTAGTTGTATGATGTGCGGTTTTTAGTTACGAACAACGCATCGCTAAAATCCGGTTCACCACTGTAGAATGAGAAGATAAACCCATATTTCGCAAAATCTGGATAAGAGTCGGCAGACGGGTAGGCAGGAATGCAAAGTGACACCCACGCGCTTGCTACTTTCTGCATTTTTTCAGAGTAGCGCTGCAAAACACATAATTTCGACGAGTTGTACATTAGTGCAAATTTCCAGCATATTATAACTAAAAGCGCGTTCATTTTGATTTACTCACTAGAAGATTCATGTTGCTGGCTTCTGGTTGAACGTCTTCACGCAGCTTTGTGAAATTTGCCAAGAGTTCATCACGTTCTACCACCGATGGTATTGCCGCAGAAACAGTCCAAATTACAGTCAGTAAAAGGATGAATTTAAGCATCGTACCTGCAGCGTAATTTGTGCAATAAGTGTCCATAAAAAGTTGCATTAAGAAGAAGTATGCAGCTTACAACAACTGTGCTTCCTTCAATAATCATAACGAAGTACTCGAAGACGAATGTATATATACGTATACAGAGGTGTGTACGTCATTAGACGTACACGTGCTAAGTTGATTCTCCAATCCCTACTTACCATTCACTGAACACAAACGCACTATTCTGTGATTCGCGTGATAAAATGAAAGCACGTATTTACTCAGCAACTGAAGAAAATCGATATCACTCTCCTATTCACTTGTAAATAACCCCAAGAAAATTAAAATGTGTTTAAGTTACTCCGCAACCTAGTCTAAATTTGAAACCATGTTAATTGTGCCTCACTTGTAGTAGCGGAAAACTGAAAACTGGGAATCAGGCTAAGCCCCATTGCCAAGGCCAACAAGATTTGTCGGCATCATGCGGTGAATAGCAGTAATGTTGCATTGTCCCTCGTTCATAAAATTCAAATTCATTACCTATCCCAGATTGATCAGATACGATTCAAAGAACAGGCAAAAGCTATCGCCTATTTGGGTGCTCAATATTTGAACCAGGAAAAAAAATCAACCTGCTCGGAATCTGACAACTGGACTAAATGACGACTGCTTTGTTGTTGATTAGTTTGACAGTTGATACAGAATTTGAAAGTCCATTTGTCTCCTTA